GAAGATAAGGAAGATAAACCTACTATCGAAAAGGTTATAAACCAATATACGGTTTAGTTACGCCATAGGCATCCCTATAGGCTTAATAAGAAGCCTATAGCGTTATCGTTTTATACGGCGATATTCCTAGGAAAGGATAAAGATAGCAGATAGCAGCCTACTAATCAGGGAGGTTAGCAGTAACAGAAAAAGGAGGATTCTTCGTTAAGGGAATTTATCTACGATTACGTTAAGATAGGAAGAGCTAAACGCCACTACTATCCGTGGAGTAGCTACCCGAATATTAATCCGACGTGCCGCTAAAAGGGCTTTACGCCCTTAAAGGAGGTAGTAGAACGTTACGACCGCGTTATTAAGAGCTAGAGTGCTTCTAAGTAAAAGAAATTCAGGGAGTATATTAAAAAGGATATCGATAAGGCTAAATATATAGTAAAAGAGTCTAAAGCTAAGTCACTAGAGAAAGATTAGTCTAAGGAAGTATCTAATTTCGTTAATAATAAGGAAAAGGATTCTAATGATAGCTCTTATAATATATATCTTACCTTTAATTTTATAGGTAAAAAGATGGCTTCGTTAACCTCGCGGACGACATCGGTTTTCTCGCTCCTATAGACTAAACAGGTAGTTATCAATAACCTATTCAATCAGTTATTAATCGATTCGGGGTCCCTAAGGCATATAACCAATTAACGCCACCTGCTCAAGGACTTCCAGCCTATTACCACTATCGTCAGATTTTAGATAGGTAGCGGCACCTCTAATCCAGTAAAGGGGTACGGTACCCTACGTCTTCAGGTTAAAAATGCAAAAGGACGTCCTTATACTCTTATACTAAAAAACGTGGCGTTTATAGATAGATACCCTATAACGCTACTAGCAACGCGCAGGTTATAGAAGGATCAGAACGCTATTTTTATAACCGGCAAAGATATCTTAGTAATAGACCGACATATCTGCCTACCATTAATCAACGTCAACGGCCAATATACCCTTAAACCGACCGACAGCACGCTATAGCGCTTATAGCAGTAACAGCAGAGCTATTTCAACAGCTCGAGGGAACCAAAGCCTATAAGCGTGGCCGATGCCCGTTTATAGCATAAGAGGCTAGGGCACGCAAACCCTTAAGCACTAGCGTAGTTATTAAAAGGCTACGTAGGAAGCATTATAGCTTTAAAAGAAGGAAGAGCGGCACCTTTAGTGGTAGACTACGAGGCTTACGCTATTAGTAAGGTTAAAAGGATAGTATCGCGATATCCAACTACCTATAAGCTAATAAGGCCTTTTCAGAGGATTAACGTGGATCTGTTTTCTATAGATCCTACCGCTAATAGCGACGATACTATTACCCTATTCCACGATTCCTAAACGCATAAAAATGTGATAAGAACGATACCAGGGCATACATATATACTATCCTCGATAGCTAACTTCGAACTCTTCTTATAAAGGCAGTATAAACTACTTATTAGTATAATTAGACTTAACGGAGAGAGGGCGCTATAGAAAAAGCTAGATAACTAGTCTTTAGATTGTGGTATCCTGCTAGAAAGATCGGCTCCTTATATAGCCGCACAGAACGCTAACGCCGAACGGTATAAGGGTATAATTTTCACTATCGCGAGGGTACTAGCAGAGGCATCAGGCTTCTAATAGGATTTATGGCCAGAGATTATTATAGTAGCCACGTACCTGTATAACCGGATTCCACGCAGGGATCTAGGCTAGTAAACCCCCGAGGGAGCACTAAACGCGTGGCTGCAAAAAGAGGGTATCGTTAGCTTCATAGCCGGAACCAGTCCCTTAATTACACACCTAAAAAGGTATAGTTATAAGGCGTACGCGTTAACTGCTAACTACCTATAAGGAAGGTATAAGAATAAAAAGCTCGCACCAAGGGTATATATCGGTTATTTAATCGGTTACGAAGGCACTAATACTTTTCGGATTTAGGTGCTAAAATAAAGGAGGATCCTACGTATAAGGGACGTTATATTCGACGAGTTAGTCCTTTATAAAAATAGGGGAAAGGAGCCTAACATACCTTTAAAGCTATATAAAGAGCTTAATCTAGCGTTAAATTAAGGGCAAATCCACGATCCTTTTAGCGTTATAACCGATATCGTCGATTTCGGTATACCTATAGTAACGCAGCAGAACTCCACGATAAAGGCTTTATAAAAGGGAAGAAGGCGTTAATAATAACCTTAATCGTCGAGATCTAGGGGGGTAATAGCCGGTAGTAGTAAAGGATTAAAAACTACTACTAATGTAAAAACCACTAAAAACGCCTCTAAAAACTAATAGGTTACTAACTAAAAGGCATCACGTGGAACAGCTACTACGGCCGCGGCAGGAATAGTGCCTGCCGTTATTCCTGCCGTTAGTTCTTCCTCTTCAACTACTATTTTACCACCCTCTTCAATAAGGGCATCGATTTTACCCTCTTCAATAACCTCTTCTTCCTCGTTAAGGCCTATTTATACGCCCTTTTCGCCACCTCCTAACGATCCTCAGATATCTATAGCTACGGCGGTTAAACGCAGCGATCAAGAGAAATCTAATAATACCAGTAATTCCTCCTCTAGTTCTTCCTCCACCTTAAAGGAGGCTATAGGAGAGGCTACCGACGATACCGTCGGAATAGGATTATTATTACCTAACTAATCCGTTATTAAAGAGGCCACTACCACTATCGTTACTCCTTAATCCACTCTATAAGCAGCTAAGTCTAATACCACTACTACTACTACTATTACGGCCTAAGAACTAACCTCTCGTTTGCCTGCTTTAGCTTTAACGCCTGCCCCCGCAGGGAGGCCTACTCATAATCGCCGACCTCCCTCCAGGTACAACGATTACGTCTCCCACTATAACAACACCTTTAAGAAGCTAAAAAAGCCGCTATTACACCGTGAGATATCTAAAAAACCGTTAAATTAGTCTTAGATACTAAAGAGCCTATATAAGCTATAATAGGTTAGGGCAGCCGTATAAAAGGTGGATACACTTAGGTTAATAGGCACCTTTAAAGCAGCAGAGCTGCCCTAGGGAGAGTAATATGCCTTAGACCTTAAATAGGTCTTTAAGTATAAGGTTAACCTATCGGGGTATATTAGTAAGTTTAAGGCGAGGTTATACATATAAGGCGATTAATAGCCTAAAAACCACCTTAACGCCTACGCCTCTACCCTTTCAGGAAGGACTTTTAGGTCGTTAATAGTAATTACTGCCTATTTTAATCTAGAAACACGTCAGCTTAATACCGTTAACGCCTTTACTAACGCCACCCTTAATAAGGAGATCTACGTTAAGGATCCGCCTGGCTAGCCGTTACTTTAAGCAGTAAAAGGCACGAAGAGCGATAAGGACCTCGAGGCTATTTTAAAGCTATCACGACTACCTTCACGCGGTATATAACGCCTACGCAGGGCGTTATATAGTCTTCGGCGTTCCCTTAAGCTATAGCATAAATAGCTCTCTTCCGTTTTAGGCAAGTATAACCTAAAGTAACTAACCGAAGACGATTACGTCTTTAAAAGCAAGGAACTAATCGTCTTCTTCTATATAGACGATCTTATTCTAATCTACAGGAAGGAATATTAATCTACTACTAATTCTCTTATATAACGGATATAGTAGCACTTTTAAGTAAGGGACCTTAGCCTACTTAGGTGGTTCCTAGGGATTAAAGTGGTTCGAGATCGCTAATATTATCGGCTTTAGCTTTTACTCGAGAACTATATCACCGAAAAGATTAAGGCTTTAGGGATAGATTTCCCCTTTAGTAGGCGTAGGGTTAAAAGCCCTCTTCCTTTTCCTAACGTTTTGGAACTATCTACTACCGACTAATAAGCCTCTACAGAGTTAATCCATCTATATCTATAGAAGGTCGGTTCTATTAATTACGCGGCCTATTAGACCCGGCCTAACGTATCTAAAGCTACTTCGAGGCTTACCGAATTTAATACTAACCCGTTAAAATAGTATCACGATACCGTAGATAGGTGTTTAAAGTACCTGGCCTTAACTAAGTCCTTATACCTTTACTTTAGACCACGCGATAACCACCTATAGCACGCACTTTACTATACTTCCGACGCGGCGTTTAGGGACGACCGTAAGACTTAGTATAGCTCCTAGGGCTATACTATACTATTATTTAGTGGCCCTATAGATTAGAAGGTAAATAAGTACATAAGCGTTATAACCTCTAGTACTAAAGCCGACCTTATAGCACTTTCTGCTACTACTAGGCAGTATATCGCGATAAGGCGTTTAATTAAGGACCTAACCTTAACCTTTAAGGAGGAACTACTAACGATATACTACGATAACGACTAAATAAGGATCCTATTAGAGGCTGCACGCCCTTAGGTTATATCTAGATTAAAGTAATTAGATATCCACGCCCTTTAGATCCGATAAGTTATTTAATAGAAGAAGGTCCTAATCGCCTGGATCTTGACCTAAGAGATAATCAGCGATAGGCTGACTAAAGTACTTTCCCCGCAGAAATATAAGGCGTTCCTATATCTGTTGGGGATAAAGGTCCTAAGCCAGGGGGCTTAAGGCAATTCATAAAAGGCACAGTGCTAAGTTTATAATCTATAGCCTAGATTAACCGTTATTTTAGTGCCCTTTACATTATTATTTAGGCACCCGTTTTTAATATTTTAATGTTATTATAGGATTAATTTAACCACCTGTTTTTACACGTTTTTAACGTTTTTAGGCATAAAAAGAGCGCGCTTTTCAATAAGCCGTTCAATCGTTGAATTAATATCTAGGCCTCTATTTTACCCTAGATTTACGGCTTTAATTAAGTAGAATAGTTAGGATTAATCCTGTAGGTCTGAGGGGGTGTGTTAGATGCCTATAGCCACCTTATCGGGGTGTGATTTACGCTATTTCTGTAGACGGATAGGGTACTTCCGACCGATATATCCACATCAATTTCCCCTCCTTTTACTTTATAGTTAGACATTTCCGCAGAGTATCTTTTACTCTTCTTCAATACACACACACATCTTTTACGTACCTTATTTATATGCTGACAGATCCACATTTCAGGGCTTGATAGTAAAATATCCGGGCGCCGTAATCCTTCCCAACATTTTTTGTACCTATGTCGTCCACCCTCGCAGCTTTCTCACTAAGATACTACACAACAATTCACGGGCTAGCATTGTGTTCTTGATTCTATCTATGACTGGTACTGCTCACCGCGTCGAAAAATGTCGATCCCGAATCAGGCCCTCGAAAAGGTATGTCTTATATGCAACCTTACTGTTGGTATGGTAGTCATGCTAATCAAATTATTCCACGGGTAGCTGGTGAAGGAGATCGAGGGCCAGGCAATAGCAGCACAGCAACAGATCGGACAGACCCGTGCCCAGACAACATCGAAGCAGCGAGACATGCGTATGCTTCGGTTAACGCTGAATGAAATATCAGGTTTACCAGCTGGGTCAAATGTGTTTGAGGGCGTAGGCAAGATGTAGAGCGCAACCCCTCGCCCTTCCCTTGCACCCCACTATTTCCCGACCCAAGGACATTTTATTGCTCCTCCCTGCCCCCCTGGTGTCTATTAATTTCCAGCTGTAACCCTGTCCCCTGATCGCGAAGCTGACAGGTGGTAGGTTCGTGTCATTGCCCGCTCCACGACTAATTGAGAAGCTCGAGGGGCAGATAAAAGAAAAAGAAGCGGAGGTGGGGAAGCTTGGACAACGTCTGCACTACTTGGAGACGACTTTCGAAAACAGCCGGAAGCATATTGACCGGATGTTAAAGGCCCAGTCGTCCTAAAGACGACCAGGTATATACCGTTATATACCGTTATATTCAACCACCCTTAATTAAACTATAGTCAATTTTCGTTAATGATGTCTAAGATAATATAATAATAATAATAACCTAAGCAGCTAGCTAATCTATTTCCGCGAGCTCCTTAAGAGCCTCCTGCAGTGCCTTTTCCTTAATCTATCTTAGTAGCGTATCGATAGAACCCTTGAACTCTGCCGAAATCATAATATATGGATGCTCGAGGGAGTTAATAAGGGTATCCTCCTTTACCTCTGCCTCGGCCTCCTTTTCGTGGATTCGATAGCTCCTATATAGAGCCACGGTCCCGGGCTCGTACGTATTAATAGTAGGGAGCGCCGGAGGCGCCGTGGATAAAGGGGTAATTACCTTATTCCGTTCTTCTGCCTAGACTATCTTGAAAGCAGAGGGCAGTCTCCGTGTGCTACTCGCGCTATAACCTCTCGCGTAGCTTAAACTCGATATTATAATAGCGCCTTTTAAGCGGCCTTTTCTATAAACGATTATAGGATTTAAGGGTAATTAAGGCGTAGAGGGGCTAGGCGTATCTCCGCCTTTAATAGTGCTTCCTTTATTATCGCGATCCTACGCGTTAATCTAATCTCGATCCTACCACTAATATAGATTAAAAGACCGGATCTTAAGTAGCGTATTATTATATATATAGCGGGTAAGTACGTGATAATAAGATAGGCTATAGGTTTACTAAATAGGGTAGAGTAAGTAAGCTATAAGAGGTTAGGTTTAAGGCTATTAATTATAACCTTATCTCTCTTAGGGTAGGTAAGGGATTTTATTATATCGTAGAATCTAAAGAGCCTAGGGGATAAATTAATAGCGAACTAGGCTAAAGAGAAAGCCTTATATAGTAAACGCTACCTTATTTATTCGCCTATTCCTCTTAAGTAAAATCTCCTCCTCTTAGTGTCTCTAGTATAACTTTAGTTTATAAAAGACTATGACTAAATACGTAATCGAATAGTATAGGAAGGTCTTAAGGCTTACGTATAAAGATTCTATAATAGATATTATAAAGTGCCCGAAGTAAGGCACTTTATTTAGCTAGTAAATAATAAACCTCTTTTGCAATAGTATAATCCAGGTATTCACCGTGTAATTAATAGCGTTCTTTAGGTAAACGCTATCACGCTTGAACTCTCTTAGTTACCGGTTAAACTCCTCCTTTATAGTGCTATTAATTAAGGTATTCTAGGCCTTAAGGAAAGTAACGAACTAAGGGTAACGCTTAATCCGGCTGTCAGTTATTCGAGTTAGTTTTAGAAAGGCGTTTTTAGTCTTAGCTAGGATATTAGCGTTAATATACTAATAGTATAAAATAAAGTTAATACTACTCGACTTTAGGTGGTTCCGAAAGGCTCTAATTAAGGCGAGTTTATAGTCCGTAATAATATAACACGGTATAGGGTAAGAATCGCCTAAGAATACGAAAAGGTATTCTAAAAACTAGTTATATTAAGCCTCTTTTTCCCCGTTTAGGAAAGCGTAGGTAACCTAAAACGACTTTCGGAAAGGCGTAATACCGTAGATACTAAGTAATAGTATATTAAAGCGATTAGTCTTATAGGTATAGTTAAATAGTTATAATCCGTCGATCTAATAATCGCGTCCTTAACCAGTTTTACGCCTATTAACCACGGGCACGTAATAGAAGTAAAATCGATAAAACCACTAAGACGGTGATTATAACTACCGCCTCCCTCCCGGGATACTATCGTAGCGGCACCGTAATACTAGTGCTACGGTATAGCTAGAAGAGACGTGGGATAGTGGCCCGATCTCGTCTATATAGAATTCGTAACGGACCCACTTTTCGTAATATAAGCGCTCCCCCCCTTACCCGTAGCGGGATATAGCGCGGAACTAATAGGAGACCGAAAGGGGACTACCACGCCCCCCGGAACTAAGAGTAACTAAGATTAAGGCAGAAATTCAGGCCTTACTAGCTAATAGGAATACGATCGAGTAGGTTATAGAGCTAGTAAAAGAACTAATTACGATACGTACCGCCCGTAAGGATACCGGTATAATACCGCTAGTATACCTATACGCTACCGTTCGCTATATTATGTGAGAGGAACTCCGAAAAGGGATAAACGGCACGAAAAAGACCTAGGCTAATATCGTAGCCTAGGATCTTATAGCGGCACCGCCGCGGGACCCTATACCCTTTAAAGTGATCCGTATTAAGTATTACCGGGAATTAATTATCTATTAAAGAACCCTGCCCGAAGACTAGCCCCTTAAAGATAAGACCCTAAAGGAGATTATCTAAGCTATAAACGCTATAATTACCCGACACGATACCGTAACGGCACGGAAATTATAGAGCGGAGATATCTACCTTACCTTTACCGAAAGGGTATAATAATAGGCTACCTATAAGAAATAATAGATTAAGAAGGCCTTTAGTAAAGGAGCTACCCTAGCCGTACGCACTTACTCTATACTAGCTAAGGCTATCCCTTAGGAGGTTCTTAATACCCTATCCGAAAAAGACTTATTAGTATCCCTATAAGATATAAACTCTAAGGTAAAAATTATCCGAGTATAATAACGGGTACCCCGTTATAGTACTACTAGGGTAATACTCCTCCTTATCGAATCGGCTTCGCCGGAAGGGGTAATAAGCCTTATCCGGAATACCCTCCTCTTTAAGGGGGGTAGCTATATCTACAAATTATATAATCCTAACCTTAGCCACTTAAAGTACTATAAATACCTATACTTTAGCTACTAAGCGAATAGCTACCTTATAGCGGAGAGGGTATACCGTTACTACGCTAAGCCCGAATTAGCGTACCCCTAAGGCCTAGGATATTATAAAGCTATAATACTAGGGCACCCCCGCCGTTACGCCGCCTATACCGGAGACTATAATACCTTTAACGATTTATACCGATTACTAAAGAAAGAGACCGAGAAGACCCGTGAAGGGTATAAGTACTAAGCTAGGGACTTTAATATTACCCGCTAGACTAAAGCAGTATACCCGCGGTAGCCGTAGATTTCCCCCCCGATTATTATCGCCTAGGACTAGGACCGACCCCTCCGTAAAGATAGGGGTTAGCCCCCGAAAAGGACTAGGGGATAGGAGGGCTCCCCGATACTAGGCCCGATAAGCGCCTATATAGTCCCCCGCGGGGCCGATAAGGCACCGTAGTAGGAACCCTAAAGCTAAACCCCGGTTAAACCGGGTATATTATCTTAACCCCCCCCCCTTTAATTAATAAAAATCTATATCTTTTCGTGGAATATAGGGAGGAGTTAGGCGCGGGGGGAGCTACCGCTCCGGTACCGCGCTAAGTACGATATAATAGTAATTTAGGAACCCGGCCTTAACCGCTTTATAAAAAGCCCTGTATACCCCTCCTAAAGGGTATACCGGCTAATCTAGGGAGGAGGCTATACCCTCCTATATATCTATAAAAGATACCCGCTACATATATAGACGTGGCGGGCCTACTACGATACCTACGCGGTTATATTCTGGACCGGAGATAATACCCTTATAATCTAGTCGATTTACTTAGAGAACTACTAATTAGCTAGGAACCCCTAGAATACGCCCCAGAAGATATATTCGACACGGTACCGCTACGGAGCCGATATATCCTTATTTATTTATTTATTTATTAATCTTACTCCGGTATCCTAACTAATCTATAGGAGCCTTTCTAGGCTATACGGTCCTTCTCGGGTAGCTATAGGGGGGAAAACCCGGGGAAAACCCCTATACACTTTCTTAGGTGGAGTAATACCGCTATGGGGCCGATATAGCCCCGGTTTATCTCTACTCTATATCTAGATTATACCTTTAGGCTAGTGGCTAACGGGAAGTATAGCAGGCTAGTGGTTAGGTAGGTTAGCCTAAGCTAATCGTTAGTAACGGAGTAAAGGCCGAGGGGGTGCCGCCACGCCTCCGCGGTATAGAGGCTACGGCCCTTTAGCCTTAACCTCCCTATATCCCTGAGAATCGTGCCTTTTATTCCTTCTACTCGGTTAATAAAGAGAGTAGGGGGGGTAGGCGCCTCCTGCCTCCCCTAGGTAGGTTCCTACTATATCCGGTAGTAGGTAAGGGGATTAAGGCTTTACCCTATTATAAAATTAGATAGTTAATATCCTATAAGGTTTTTATACCTCTTTTCCCTCTCTCTTCCTCCTATAACACTAATAAGTTCGTTATAGGTTTCCTCCTACTCTATTCCCACTTATAGTGCCGCCGGCTTATCGTTACGGCTCTATACTAATAGTAAAACCCTTTAGTTTTCCTGATTTATTTTTCTATTATAATTAAACTATAAGTGCTTTATAGGTAACGCCGCGGTAGCGTAGTAGCGTGGGGTTAACTAGGTAGTATAGTATGAATTTATATATATAAATAATTAATTAGTAGTAATAGTATAATATATATTCTCCTGTAGCGTAGCGGTGCCTTAGTAGTAACGTGCTAATAGTCATAGATATCGTTTCGTAATAATAATAATACTAATGATAATTATAGCCGGTATAAGAAGGGCTTAGTCCGAGTTATACCGTATATATTCCCTAGTAGTATCGGGGCGGTGCCGCGGTGGCTAACCTAGGGTAGTTATATTCGTTATAGTAAGCGCCTAGGTATATACCCGGATAACGTGGAGGCCTACTCTAATACCACGGGTATAGGGGTAGCTTATTTTTAGTATACTAATAGCCGGCGTCCGTGTAAGAATATAAGTCGTGCTAATATCGTTATAGTGCCGTAGGTGTATCGCGGTAGTATATACTAATTTTTCTATAGGTCCCCCCCGCTACTAAAAAATAGCAGTAGCGTCTTATAGATCTTTATAGGGCGTATATAGTAGTAAAGGCCGCTAGTAATAACGGTATCGCTACTATATATATCCCTTTTCGGTGCCGAAGTAGTCCCTGCTAATAAACTATAGGCTAAGAATCGTCTAGGGATAGCGTCCCGGTCTTTTAGCCGG